GGAATTTAAAAAATATGTACTGCAAAAACGTGCAGAAGAAAAGGAAGGGATAGAGAGATGGATGTAGAATAAAGGGAGGGAATAGAAAGGATGAAGAAAGTAATTGAGATGTGCTATGTACATGTACCAACTCCCATAAAGTATATGAACATGCACTACACATACATAGTACAAAGGGAAAGAAAAAATGTATTTAATGTCCATTTAAAAAGTGATTCCTTCATTCTTGCATTAATTAATGCATTTTCATATAGTAAGTTGTACATCTATTGGAGTGTTACTGCTTAATGAATAATGTGAATAATTAAATGATGCAGATAAAGAGCAGGAATGGTACTTAGCAATCTTCCAGCCTCCTATTCTTCTGGGCTAATGAACCTGACTTAGAATCCACTTATGTACTGAACTACCCTTTCATGTCTTGCTAATTATGAACAACGCTGAAACATTATTTTATTGTTTTCATTGGAAAAAACTTGCCTAACTTTGCTGAATAAACAAGATCTATGTCAGCATCATTCAAGATAAATTTATTGTGAGCTACACTTATAACATTTTGCTAAGTACACTGAAAATGACACAAGAATTTTCTCTCATATATTTTGTTTATGAGAAACTTTAGATGATTAAGATTAATGTATAATGTATTGAAATATGAAATGTACTTTATACTTACAGTATACTTTACTTCCAAAAAGCTACATTGAAGTTTTTCATAATCATGGCATTTTTATCTGTGGAATTATTGAAGGAATTAGCAAGTCTCTCTCTTGTCTAATTTCCCTATCCTTGAAGCATATATCCCTTTCATGGTTCACTGGTACTCCTGGCCAGCCTCAAATGTCATCATTTGTGACTGTCTTGTATCTGTGAATATCTTCACCCACTCTCATTGTCCTCTGCTCGGTGGAGAAAGTCCACTGTTTCTAGAGAAGAGACCTCTATCTCCAGGAGACACCAAAATGATTTTCAGCTCTGGTACTTCAGTACATGTGATTACTTTTGGTATAATCAAGACAGGCATCCTTGCAGAATTAATATAACTAATTTACACAAGTGACCAAGTTATGATTTCCCTGACAAGAGCAAGTGGAAATTTTAAGGGAGGATGGCTCTCTGGCACCTCGGTTTTTTCTTACTCAGATCCCCCTACAATTTAATATAGCAGTAACTATTCAAATCCTCCCCAAACTCATTCATATAATTTTTCCAGGATTTCCTCCATGGTTCTCTACTGTCTTTGCTTCTGATTTGTTCTATCCTTAATGCTGACTGTACAACCAGAAACTTAACTGTTACTTATATCAGCTCTGTGGGTTCATTCACCGCATGTCTCTTTGATGGACACGGAAAATTGGGTATCACCTTCATTTTCCCAGATATTTTTCACTAACTGGGGAAGTCCTTTCTAGATCTATTTCCTAGCATCTGTTGATTCTGATGAAATGCTAAACTTTCAAAGTAAAAGGAAAAGTTGTACTAATATTTTGGAATCTGAAGGCATGCTTAGAGGAATTGGGATATTCAAGATGACACTGCAGAAATTTCACATTAAGTAGCGGAAGGATTAAGTACACTTTCTACTCAAACTAATGAGAAACAAGGAAATATAAATTAAGATAAGCATGAAATAATATATCTCATTCAATTTTCAACAAAAACTTAAAAGATTAATGATACAACATGCATAAGAGGGTGCAGTGTTATCTGTATATTTTATATTTCCCTAACAATACTTGCTATTTAGGATTTGTAACAAAGTTTTATCAACATTTATTGAAATTCATAATTGTCACTTATTTGAAATGAATTTCATGGTTTCAGTGTCTTGCATATCAAGAATGATGCACATTTGCCTACAAACTCATCATTTTACTTTAAGTAATCATAACAGCAAATGGTAAAAAAAAATTATTCCCTCAGCAAGAAATTTGTTTAATTATGGCATATGTGCACATCTTTGCTTTAAAAAGTAGAAGTATAAGTATAAAATGGGCAAGCTCAAATATATCACTCAGTTAACATTCTCTGGTAAATATACAGCTTGTTTAAAAATTTCCTACCTATCTCTACGGTTATAAGTCCAGGAACAGTATATTCTATAACAAATAAACTTCACACATCTGTGTTTTGAAAATATTTTGATGGTGTGATTGAAGCACCCAGAGAGAAAGATACTCCTAAAATTCCCTATGCAGAGTAAACAATTACATGGAAGGAGCTGTTGATGTCAGAAGGGGTCCATGACGAGGGAGAAGACTTCTATGATCTTAGAATCATTCACAAAGGAGAAGGCTGTGGTGTCAGGGTTGTTTTTTCCTTGAGAGACTGCGTAAACTCTAGAGGCAAAGGCTATGATGAACTGACGATCAATTCTGCCCCTTACAGATAGGCAGTCTCACTGGAGAATAATCAGAGGAAGCGGACTGTAAAGTGGGAACGTGTTGTGGCTGGAAAAAGAGGCTGAGACCAGGTAAGAGTCAGATCTCAAGGGAATGTAGTGTTAAGGAAGGCATGTGAACCTTATAGATACTCCCCAGTGCCTTTTGTCTTCCCTTTTTCTTTGCTTCTTTGAGCCTGCTTTAGTGCTTTGGAGACAGGATACATTTTATCACTCTTAAAATATTTTGGAGTCCTGAGATGAATTGAGGCTTCAGGATAGAGGGAATAAATCCACTCAGTCTTGAATAATTCAAACTTGTAGAATGGTCTTAGAACTGCCATCTAACAGCTCTGTATTCTTCATCATTCAAGTGAGTCTGCTAAAATTCTCAGACTTCTGGAATGCAAATCGTATGTAGAAAACACCTAAGAATATGGTAAACATTGGATCTTTAATGAACAGCAATTGTAAGTATGATTATATTCATATTACAAGAGACTGTTCATATCTGGGGAAGTTTTTGGTTCTAAGGAAGTCAGAGAATATGTAGGGCACAAGGATAAAGAAAATTGAATAAAAAAAAAAGACCGAGCCCATAGCAATAAGTAAATATTCTAGAACAAAGTCACATTGTTTAATATGAGGGTACGGGATTCACCAGCATTCCACTGAAAATAATTAAACCTTCTTAGAAAGACCAGTAATTGCCCATGTTTTCTGATGGCCCTAATACAACACTTGCATTTTCATTTGCTTCACTAGTAACATCTATTACTACTGAGTGCTTTCCCACATGGCACAGAAGATAATATAACCTACAGAACAGACTCAGAGTTTCTCAGCTCAGGGCAAACAATGCCAGTATAATGGCTCCCTGACAAATACTGTCAAGAGAGAAAAGCACCCCCCAACTTCAGTTCTCATACAAACTCTTAACTATAGGGACACTAGTTTATGCACCATGCACAAGAGCACTGAGAAAGGGCTGCCATACTTCTTCTGTTCTCAATAAACTTGTTCAACCAAGAAGGGACTGCAGTAACCAAAGTCACAAAGTGATCCAGCTCAGCTCAGGGAATTTACACTTGGCTGCCTTCCTCTCCATCCCCTCCAGCCCGTACAGTCTGACTTCTATTTTTATTTGTTCTGGCTCAGGGTGTACCCATCATCTTCTTTAACTCCTGTTAGACTCAAAACATCTAAGAGCAGAGGAAGACTCCTTTTTATCCTATGCCATTTCCATAAGTATACAACTTTCCAAGGTGGAGCTACTTGTTTAAGGCTTAGAAAAATAAAGCCATCAAGCAACAAATATAATTTATTAATTAATTTTATTTGTATTTTTCAATCATTTAAGGCAATCAGATGTCTTCAATTTCACAAAAATTAAAAGGGAGAGAGAGAGAGAGAGAGAGAGAGAGAGAGAGAGAGAGAGAGAGAGAGAGAGAAAGGGAGAGAGAGAATAATTTCAAGCAACGATTGACTATGGCATGCCTTGATTTACACTATTATATTTTATGAGGTTCTTAGATATTTCCAAATCATGTCTTCCTTTCATACCTGTGATTTCACTCTGAAAACCAAAAGATAATCAAAGGCTATTAAAAAGTATTACAGAAGGCTAACATTACTGCATTTAAATCTGAAGCTAACAATGCAAGTGTGATGTATGCTACTCATAACCATGGGTTCAAAATCTAAACATTCTTTTCAAGTTTGACAGAAGCTAATGTGACAGATGAACACAGGAATGCACAATGAAATCTTTAACCCCATGCTAACATCTAACTAGTTATGAGGCAAAAAAGGCTTTTTTTTTCAAATTAGAATGAAGATTCAGCCACCCACCTCACTTGGGGGTAGACGGGTTAGAAGTTTCTCTGGGAAGGGGAATGGAGGCAACCACAGTTTCATGGCTGGCTGCAGCATTGGCTTGGATCCTCTCTTCCTCCTCTCCCAAAACCTGTGCATACTACAATGGGAAGACACTAGGGATAGTTTCATTCATCCTGGCCAAGAGCTCGATGACTTTCTTCTTTTTTATCTCAATGTGTGCTCTTCGACCCCACAGAAATTCCATGTATGGAGGATCACTGTGAAGCACTTCGAAGCACACAAGATACTTTTTCCGCATGACATCTTCGGTGGTGAAATTGCACAGCTCGGCAAAGATTGTGTGTTCCTCTCTGTCATATATTGCCATCATACTTTGGAATTCCTTGGTCTCTTCTTCAGAGACACAGTTGCCATTTAAGATGAGGCTGAGCAGAGGCATCCGAAGCTCGGGATCCCAGGCCAGTGATCAGATTCTCATAGCTGCAGTCATTGAACTTTTTGACAAGGGTGTAGGTGCCACGACAATGCTTGACTTCCTTCAGCTCAAGCCCAAAGAGCTGCTCTGTCCACTCAGAGATCATCTTCAGGATCTCAGGGAAGTGTTGTTGAAACCTTTTGTGGAGAATCTTCAGCATTTCAGCCCTTACTGCCTTCTCATGCATTTTGTACTTGTAGAGCAGCTAATGCATCAACATTAGGATCTCTTTTTCTGAGCTCTTCTTGGGGACTGGGGCCATAGCGGGAGTCTCTGTTTCCTCTCTTCAGCTCTTGGCACCTTTACCAGATCTTTTGTGTGTAGCAACTCCAGGGGCACTAGTTGTGGGTGGAGCTGCTTGCAACTTCTGGGGAAGCCCAGAAGCAGGGGAGCTTGCAGCATCATCTCCAGAGCCAGGAGAGCAGGAGAGGTGCTCTCCCTCCTGTGCCCCAGGAGCCTGAGCTCCCTGGAGATGCTGTGTCTCACTTCGGGTTTGGCGGTGTTTCTCTTGAGCACGCAGCTTACTCTTATGTCCCTGGGGCATGATGACTGTGGACAGGAACAGCAGGTAGGACTGTTGGCTGGAGAGCAGGTGTTGCTGGAACCTGAAGGAGGGAGAATGAGATCCTGTGAGTACTTGCATCAGGAAGAGTTTATTGGAATTTTGGGAAGTCCCTGTTCATGGTCCCAACTCCTCTGTGGATTTTTTCACGTTGATAAGTAGAAACCAATGAGTGTGGTAATCTCATTTCTCAGGCTTTGCCTTTCTCTTGGGTTCCCATTCTGAAAAGGAGTGCTGCCGATATGCTGTCTTTCTGTGTTCAAGTGTCCTCAAATTTTGCACTGAATAGGTTTACAGATGTACTTGGCACCACCTGTAGAATCCGATTTGCACTACACTGAGGCTAACAGTTCAAAGTAACAACATATTATGAAAAAAATGCATGGATTTCTCTTGCCCTTACTTTGACAGAGAGGAATTGCTGACAGTTTCATGGCGCTCCCTCTAGCGTGGGTTCATTGGTCCCCAAACCTCACACAGAAACCCTAACTAGTCTACATCTACTATAGACAACACTCCTGCCTGCTTACTGGTGCGGCACCATAAAAACATGATGTTCCCTTTAATTGGATTTGATAGAGTACAAGGCCAAAGACTCAGTTAAAAACTGAGCTCTGGAAACTCAAAGACTGTAGGCCGAGAAGGAGCTAAATAGTTTATGGATCCTTCTATAGAGGATTGAGGAAGTGATACCTGCAGTCCTCACTCTGGATATATACTTTGACTCCCTTGAGGCCCGCAGGGCACTCATTTCCAGATGTCAGGACACCATCCTTGAATATTAGTTGGAAGATGTGACACTTGCTATACCAGGCTCTATTGTCATATTCTCCAGGGTTTGAAAGGTGTGGATATAAGTTTATGATCCTATGATATGTGGATTTAACTCATTGTTCTGATTCAAGGTCTCTAGATTGACTCTGGGATTATGTACAATTTTGTCCTTGTTGACCTATCTAAATAACTCATTCAATTGTTTAGAATTTTTGCAGAGGAATCGAGGGGCAATTCTGCTTGACAGCTATGACCAGGGCCTCCCAGGCTTGTCTTGCAGAACCAATCTGTAGGCCCACGGCATATACCGAGTAGGAGTTCTCTGAAGACCTCAGGAACTTCTCTGCCATATGTGACCATAACAAATCTTCCTTCCTGGCAACCTGAAGCCTTTTGTGCCAATTAAATTTCAAACTATCTGCACGACCCAGAGATCAAAGGAAGTTTTAGGCACATCCGGTGAATCCTGTGATCTGTGGGACCTCATGATCCTTGACTTGATTTCTCTTTAGCGAGCACTCAAGCATGGACTGTACTCCACCATCCACTAACCTGAAGTATCTACTTGTGCTAAGCCATTTGGCAATATTAGGAATTAATATGAAGATATGATATATCTGGTTCTCTCTGTGTGTGACACTTACTGCAATGCTCCACCTGCTAATCTGAGGCTGACCACAGTGGAAATGTTCCTCAGCTCCTTTAGATATCCTTGGAAGAAGTGACTGAGCATTATCATGTAATGGTGACCACCTCCTTCAGGTCCCATTGCAGGCACAAGGTGCTATTTAGATCACTGCTTTCATGAAGAAATCTCTCCAACATACTACTACTATCTCAACTCCTACCAGCAACCAAATTTCTGTCCTATGGACTCTGTCATTACACCTTAGACTCTTTTTTTTGTATTTAGAGGAAAAAGCAAAGCAGAAAGAAGGATAGAAATAATACACAATTTCAAAAAACAGTAAGAAATCACTTGTTGATAAATTATGTACTGTTATCTTAGAAGCACTTGCACGTGTCACATAATCAAAGAATAAGAAGTGGGCAATCAAACAATGACAGTACAAACCATTCTGCTTGATGAACAAAAACTTAGTAGTGTTAAACCTTATGCTCTTTGTCCCTGAAACTTCCACACTAAGAGCAAAGGAAACACCTGAGCCCTGACGTCTCTAGCCCTGGCTTCTCAAGACTGAGTGCAGTGGCAGATTGTGTCTTTCCTCCATTATGTGGGAAAGCCCTTATCTCATGCCTCATTCATGGCTTGTTCTTTGACACCTCTAATGGCCCAGGCTCCTCCCCTGCCATTGAAATGGGTTTCCTACCTTTTAAGCACAACTGTCTTCTCTCTAAGACTATGAAGTATAAAGCCATCACCTACTTGAGCCTCTTAGCCTTGACCTGAAATTACCTGGTATTACATTACGTGCTGCTGTCTGTTCTTTGTTGTGAGAAGCCTTCATCTCCTCTCTCAGTATCCTCACCTTTACCTACATGATCTGCTGGACTCTGTTTTCTGCAGTCCAGAAGCCAGGGCCCTGGGACAAATGTCATCTATGACCTGATTTGATGATCAAACTGACCTACATCAAGTCAAGACTTGTATGTGTGTAGAGCCTGAGTGGGACTCTCAGATCACACAGTCCTGGATTGTGACACCCTCAGTGGATTCAGGACTCTCATCTCCACTCAGGTAGGATTCACCAGTGCTGCTTCTCCAGATCTGAGTGCAGAAGTCACAAACCAAAGCCCACATCTCCCTGGGACAGTAGAGGAAAGGTTGGTGTGTTTCTCATCTGAGTACCTTATTTGAACACTCAGTCCCATGTGTGACAGTTGAAATACTGTTCTGATGGACTCCTATCTTGAAAAAAATATATAGTACCTCTATTTTTTTTTCCTTATAGGGCTAAAATTTTCTTTCTGTTACTAGGCCTGTTCCTCTTTGGATACCGTAAGGCCACATCAGACAGTCTCCAAGTGTCTAGATCCAGACACAAAGTTGCTTCTAACATTACACTATTGGCCCAGAAGCCCCTGGGGCTGACATAGGGGCGGAACCTCATAGAGCTGAGTTCATAATGTGAACAGGAAGGCCCCTCCTTCCTGTGCACATTCAAGAAACTTACCTTGAATGCTGAAGAATCCTGGAAATTTACTGTCCTTGGAGCAGACACTGAGTTTGTCACAATGGGGTCGTATCTTTCAGAGTACAAAGATGATCCTCTTCCTTGCTACAAACCCTAGGATTCTCCACTGCTGTTATCAGGGACAAGTCCTTAAGGGGACTGCACTGCCCTGAAGTAAGTTTTTAAATGCTAGAGCACAGCCTGGGATTCCTCCTTCTACTCTCAGAAGTCATTGATCACCCAAGCCAAACCCACACATAATTCAATCACCGAGGCGGAAATCCATGAATGCCCCCGGGGTTCCACCTACCTGAGTATCACCAGACCACAGCAGAGACAGAACTTTGTGAATATCTATATTTGTGGACTGGTCCTTTCACCAGGGAACAGAGTGATCACCTTGGCACTATGTTTACCCAAATCCCCGCAAACAGAGCTTAGTCCTTATATTGGCTGCTGGTACTTTGCTTTCTCACACCTTGCAGGTCTGAACAGGCACCTCAGCTGGGTGGCTCTGCCCAGTGCCTCCATGAGCACAAGTATTCTGTGAAAGCTGGTGTTCTTGTTGGAAATGAACAAAGCCCATCAGCCTCCAAACATTGCCCACCCCTTCCTCTTCCTAGAGTCAACTGTAGACTTGCTATGAAAAGGATCTATTCCTGTGCTCCAAAGCATGTACACTTTCTCTCTCTCTCTCTCTCTCTCTCTCTCTCTCTCTCTCTCTGTCTGTCTCTCTCTCTGTCTCTCTCTCTGTCTCTGTCTCTGTCTCTGTCTCTGTCTCTGTCTCTGTCTCTCTCTCTGTCTCTCTCTGTCTCTCTCTCTCTCTCTCTCTCTCTCTCTCGATGCAGGGGAAGTAAATGCGTCCCCCACAAAGCTTCTGCTTCCAGTGAAGAAAAGAATATGAGATCTTTAGATTTAATGCCTTTTACTTTTTGTGTTGTTTATAGAATGCACATAGAATTTTTCAACTTATCAGAAATACCGGAATGAATCATATTATGCAACAACTTGCAATTGAGTTGTCTTTTCTTCTATAATATTGTTTAATGATTTCAGTTTATAATATTTGCATGCACTTTAGTCAGTAGGTACATGTATTTAGCTCATTTTAATTTTTTTTTTAATTCCTTCTCCTTTCTAATTTTTCCTCTTCTCTGTAACAATACAATGGTTACCTTCTCTGTGGGTGGTTGGTGCACATACATAACAGATCCCAATTCTTTCCATGTCTCCATCACCTCCTCTTCTCTCCCAACCTCCATCTTTTATTCCCCATCTTTTTGACAAATATCTATCTTCTACCTTCTCTCTTTCTCTCTTTCATTTTGCTCTATGTTTCATGTATACTTTTCTGATATGGAAGAACTCACATAGTGTTTAAACTATGCATCGGATTTATTTCAGTTAACATTATATTTTCAGATTGCATCCATTTTCTACAAATGGTTCAAATTTATTCTTCTTTATCGTTGAGTTGTATCTCATTATGTATAAGGTCCCACATTTCCTTTATTTGTTTGTGTGTTCAAGGACATATCGGCTGCTTCCAGTATTTACCAATTGTAAATTTTGCTGCTATAAATGTGAGTATAGGTGTATGACTAGAATGCAATTTTTTAACTGTTTTGGAAAGATACATAGAATGAGAATAACTGGATCAAATTGAATTTCTACTTTATGTTGCTCATTTCTTTTATGTTTAGATTTTTAGAAAATTACGTTCATTCACATTTTCAAGAGAATCATTACACATATGATACTTCCCTGCAAGGAAACATAAAAACTGCGCAGTTCTTTAGGCTTGATCTCAGTGTCCCTTGGAGTAGATGCTCATACTAGTTTACTTTCCAGAGCTGATCTGCACATGTGACAAGTCCTTTAACTGCGTTTCCTCTTTGTCTGAAACTGCTCCTCTCAAGTGGAGGTTCTATGTCCCTGATTGTTCTTGGTTGTAAGTCAGAGGAACCATGTATGCCCAAGTTCCTCTCAGAGCCTGCAGTGATTGACAGCTGTGACGGTGTACTGAGGCACTGCACGGGCCTGCTGTGGTTCTTGTATCACTCCACTTTCCCG